CCCCCGTGCCTCCGCATGCCCACGCCCATGTCCCCGCGTCCCCGTGTCCCCGCAGTGCTGGCGGGGCTGGGCGCTGCGCGGGTCCGCGGGCGCCGCCGGGCTCTGCGCAAGGGGCTCCTGCAGCGCTCTCGGGACGACATGCGCGACAACATCCTCAACTACGACGAGCAGGGCGGGGGCGAGGAGGACCAGGTGAGCAGGACCCATGGCAGGGAGTCCCGGGGGTCCGCAGCTCAGCCCTGCACCTCTAAACCCCTCCCGGCCCCGCAGGACGCCTACGACATCAACCAGCTCCGGCACCCCGAGCTCTTCTCCCCCCGGGCCAAGCCCCCCCTGCGCAGGGACGCCCCGCTCAGCTCCGGGACCCCCCTGGCCCCCCGCAAGCTGCCCAGCAGCCCCTCCGACATCGAGGATTTCATCAACGAGGTGGGTCAGGGCCCGGCGCCCGTGCCTTCAGCCGCCCATGGGCGGAGGGCTGACGGTGACCCCTGTCCCTGCAGGGGCTGGAGGCGGCTGACAGTGACCCCAGCGTGCCCCCCTATGACACCGCCCTCATCTACGACTACGAGGGCTCGGGCTCGGTCGCCAGCCCCCTCAGCTCCATCGTGTCCAGCCTGACGGACGAGGACCAGGACTACGATTACCTGAGCGAGTGGGGGCCCCGCTTCCGCCGCCTGGCCGACCTCTACGGGCACTAGCGGGGCTGGGGGGCAGGAGGGGACACCCCAGCGCCCGGGGAGGGGACGGGGCAGCGGGCAGCTCACACAGAAACACGCCCAGGAGCACAGGAGATGCCCAGGGGCAGCGGCTTCACGCACGGACCCGCACGGGATGCCCGACTGGAGCGGTTTTGCACACGCGTGTGCAACGAGAGGCCTCCGTGCGGGGGGTGCGCACTCACACCCACCCCGCAGAGCCCAGCTCAGCAAACCTCGGGAGGGACGCCCGGGCGAGCCCCACACAGCTGGGGAGGGGGCGATCACCCCCTAATAAAGAGCGGGGGTCGGTGGCGGGGGTGTGTGACCCCCCCCACAGCAGCGACCCGTAGAAACAAGGCACTTTTATTGGGAGCCGGCAGCACCCCCGATGGGGCTTCACCCCCGCCCCGGGGCTCCCAGCACCGCTGCTCCTGGGGCGGGATCCGGCCCCAGCGCGGGGTGGGCGCTGCTCCCATAACACCCCCGGACAGCGGGGAGCCCCCCGGGGAGCGCGGGGGGCACGGCTACATCTCGCGGGGGGCGTCCGGGGAGCGCAGCATCCTCTTGGTGGAGGTGGCCAGGCGGGAATAGTCGTGGGGGATGGCTTGGGGGGCCAGCAGGGGCAGGTGGTCCTCGCGGGGCTGGCGGCGGAACAGGGGCGGGCGGCGCTGGCTCTCGCCGTCCTGCAGGGACTGGGGCAGGCCCCGGCCCTGGCTCTCGGGCAGTAACATGATGCTGAGCACGGCCAGGATGGCGAAGGAGGCGAACACGACGTGGTGCAGGAAGAAGCCGCGGCTGTTGGGGATGGCGGTGATGGGCGCCGCGGCTTTGCCCACGAAATTGGCCCCCAGGACCAAGCCCAGGGCGGCGCCCCTGCGGGAGGAACACGCTCAGAGGGGGCCCTGCCCCGTGCCCCCCGCTCCGGGCTGGCACAAGACGGGGGCAGCTCCCCCTTACCTGACCACGGTGGGGAGAACCTCGCTGGCAAAGAAGATGCTGAGCATGGTGACGGCGTGGGAGGCGGCCGTGCCCACCACGGACAGGGTCAGGACAATGAGCTCCAGCAGGTCTGGGAGGGGGTGAAGCACATCAGGGGGCAAATCCCGCACCCACCTCGACAGGCACGCCGGGGGTCCCGCCGGGGTCTTACACTGGGTGAGTGCCAGCAGCAGCAGGGAGGAGATGCCGGTGAGGACGGTGCAGAGCAGGAGGATGGCGCGGCGCCCGAAGCGCTCGGCAGTCAGGCACACGAAGAGGCAGGCGGCGGCCTCGGTGCCCACCAGCACCAGGTGGGAGGAGAAGAAGTGGGGCAGGTGGGGGACCAGGTTGCGGGTGAAGCAGTGGCGGATGCCGGAGCCGATGAACCTAAGGGACAGCGGGGTCAGGGGGCCGCGAGTGGGACCCCCCGCCCCACGACCACCCTGCCGCCATCCCCCGGCGCTCACGCCGCGAAGCCGAGGATGACGCCGTTCTTCCAGATGACCCTGGTGCTGCAGATCTCGCAGACAGAGTGGTACCGGGGCCGCGGGGGCCCCTCGGACAGGGCCTCCAGCTCTGCCGGGAGAAGGGAACCCAGGGTAGAGCCGGCTCTGTCACAGCACCCCCAGAGGCACGGCTCGGAGCCCCCCACGCACCCGTGAGGAGGCTGTCCTGGGGACAGTTGTCTTCGGCCAGCGCCTGCAGGGTCTTCCTGGCCCTCTCCAGCTGCCGCGTGGCCAGCAGCCAGCGCGGTGACTCCAGCAGCAGTGCCGGGCACCTGGGGCACGAGTGTCGGGTCACCGGGCTCCCCATGGGCCTGGCCACCCTCCAGCACTGACCTTCCCACCCGGCTTCAAAGCAACGCTGCCCAGAAACCCTCAGCTTCAAACCTGAGCAAACATTTACCCAGGGTGGGGAGGTTCCCACTCCTCTGGAGAGCCCCGGGTGGCCTCTGATCCCCACCGCGGCCCCGGGCAGGGTGTGCCGGGCTGGGACCGGGGCACCAGCCCCGGGGCACAGCGCAGCCCCACGCAGCCCCCTGCCCGGGGAGGGAGTCCTTACCACCAGCAGGCGGCCAGCAGGGCCAGGATCATGGTGACAGCGCCCTGCAGCACCCGCCAGTCCCGGCACAGCAGGGCCAGCCCCGGCAGCAGCAGCTCCCCGGCGATCCAGAAGAATCCGGCCACCATTGTCACCCCCAGCCGGTGCGGGGGGTCACACAGCTCCAGCCCTGGCAGGGGGGCAGGGGGCCACAGTGGGTGCCGAGGACACGAAGCATCCCACGCCCTGGAGCATCCTGCGCTCCAGACTGTCCCGCACCCTGGCACATCCCACAGCCCGGAGCATCCCGGAGCATCCCGGAGCATCCCGGAGCATCCCGGAGCACCCGCAATCCCCACAGCCCCCTGGACGCCCCCATCACACTCACGTGCCACGTAGAGGGCGAGGAAAGCTCCTGCCAGCGCGGCCCCGAAGAGCAGCCGTGCCACCAGGACCATGAGGAAATCCACAGCCAGTGCCACGCCGAGCCCCAGGGCCACGGCCAGCGCCAGGGACAGCAGGAAGGTGGGACGGCGGCCGAACCTGCCAGGGACGGGCTGTGAGAGGGGCTGGGCACGGTGGCCCCTGCCCGCGGGGGCTCCCCGGGGACCCCCACTACCTGTCACAGGCCAGGCCGGCGGTGACACTGCCCAGTGCCCAGCCCAGCAGGTGCGTGCTCTGCTCCAGGGGCACCTTCCAGCGAGAGGCACACACCAGGTCCCACTGCGGGGGACACAGCAGGGAGGGGTCAGCGTGGGGGGCTTGGCAGACCCCCTGGCACTGCCCACAGGGCTGGGATGGATGGGCCTGGAGGGCTTCTGGAGAGCCTCCGCCCCACAAACAGAAATGAGGGGACAGATGTGAGGGGACAGTACTGGTGACTCCAAGAGCCCTGGACACCCTCCAGCCCCTCAGCTCCAAACCCATCCATGGGATCGTTCACCTCGCTCCCCCTGCACACCCAGAGCTTTCCCGTGGGATCCTTTACTGGAGTCCCCAGCTTGCTCCGGTGGCTGGGACCCCCCATTTGCTCCCCCCGGCTCCTCGCAGGTATTCACCCCCCAGCTTTCCCAGGTCTCTCCCTTAACCCCTCCTTTACCCAAGGGAACCCTCAGTCCCCTCCAGCAGCGCAGGCTGCCCCAGCCCCGGGGGTCCCCCGCTGTCCCCAGCCCCGGGAGCCCCCCAGTCCCACCCCCCAAACCCCACCTGTGTGACGAGGTTGGCTCGGAGCCCGGCGGCGGGCAGCGCGTAGTGCCAGCCGCGGGTGCAGGGCCCGGTGCCGTTGGGCCGGGGGTCTCCGTGAGGGTACCGGTACAGCTGGCAGGGGCTCCAGCCGCCGCGGAGGCGCGGAACGGCGGCGCGGAGCAGCGCGGGGCCCCCGAGGCGGCGGAGCGGCGGCGGCAGCAGCGCGGTGTCGGGGCGGCAGCGGTGCGGGGGCTCCGTGCCCAGCGCCCACCCCAGCGCCCAGCCCAGAGCCAGCGCCAAGCACGGCACCCACCCCCCCGCTGCCCGCCGGCCCCGCGGCCGCGACCCCCCGAGCGCCATCGCCGCGGCCACCGGCACCGGCACCGGCAGCGACACCGGCACCGGAACCGGCAGCGACACCGGCACCGGCAGCGACACCGACACCGGCACCGGCAGCGACACCGGCACAGGCACAGGCACAGGCACCGGCAGAGCGCTCGGGGTCGGCGCGGCCAGGTGGGGCGGCACCGGCCGG